ATACCTTCAATCTCTGGACTTCTCTTACCACTCTATTCGCTGCGCAGTCGCAATCCCGCATAACCAATCTTCGGATGTCCATCTCCAACACCAAGAAAGGAAACATGTCGAGCAACGCCTTCATCGCCAAGATGAAAAACCTCGGGGATGTGCTAGCTGCGGCTGAGCGTCCGGTAACCGATCCGGAGATGGTGGACTACATCCTTGCTGGCCTTGATCGGGACTACGATCCCATCGTGGAAGCGGACGGCGCCATCAAGAACTCCATCACCGTCGATGACCTCTTCGCGCAGATCGTTGCATTTGATCAGCGAATGGAGATGCTGGGGGATGGTCCAGCAGGATTCTGCTCCTCTACTAACACCGTCTACAAAGGGCGCGGGCAGTCCTGTGGTAGGGAAGGTCGTGGCCGAAGCAACAGAGGAGGACACGGTTGAGGAAACCGCTCCTCTCCTTATCCTAGTCGCGGAGATGGCGGCGGCGGTCGTCAGCAACGTTTTTGCCCTTAACCACAACAACAACAACAACAGCAAGAAGGCGACTATCCAGAGTGCCAAATCTGCTACAAGTTCCATGCTGGCGAGGCAAGAGCCTGCTGGCATTGGTACGATGATGATCATGAAGAGAAGAAGGTAGCCAACCTCGTCACCAACAACTATGGCATCGACTCCAACTGGTATGCAGACTCCGGCGCCACTGAACATATCACAGGGGAGCTCGACAAGCTGACGATGCGGGAAAGGTACCACGGCAGTGATCAGATACACACGGGAAGTGGAACTGGTATGGACATTACTCATGTTGGTAAATCAATTGTTAAAACCCCCATAAAAGACTTACATCTTAACAATGTCTTACATGTTCCACATGCTTCAAAAAATCTTGTTTCTGTTCATCGTTTTGCCCTTGACAACAATGTTCTCATAATATTTTATCCTCACTCTTTTGTGATCAAGGACTTGACAACGAGCAGGGTCATCCTTAGAGGAATGTGAGGGAGGCCTATATCCACTCATATCATCTTCACCTTCATCATGGTCGAATAAACAAGCGTGGAGTGTCACCAAACCTTCCTTGGCAAAGTGGCATAGTCGTCTCGTTCATCCCTCTTCAGTTATAGTTCAGCACGTCCTTAGCAAGAATAATCTTCCTTATGAGTCTAGCGTTGAGTCAATTTGTGATGCTTGCCAGCAAGCTAAGAGTCATCAGTTACCCTATCCTATATCAACAAGTGTTTCCACTGCTCCAATTGCAGCTTATTTTTTCAGATGTATGGGGACCAGCTCCCACATCAGTTGGTAGATTCTCTTATTATGTTAGTTTCATCGATGATTATAGCAAGTTCACTTGGATCTATTTGCTAAAGAAACGATCTGATGTTTTCCAAGTTTTTACCAACTTCCAAGACCTTGTTGAACACCAACTAAACTCAAAAATTCTTGCTCTGCAAACCGACTGGGGTGGTGAGTATGAGAAACTAAATTCCTTTTTCCAAAAAATTGGAATCTCTCACCATGTCTCTTGTCCCCATGCTCATCAGCAAAACAGGTCGGCTGAACGCAAACATCGCCATGTTGTTGAGGTAGGATTAGCACTCCTAGCCAATGCTTCCATGCCTCTAAAATTCTGGGATGAAGCCTTTCTCACTTCCACATATCTCATAAATATTCGACCAAGCAAAGTCATCAAATTTGAAAGTCCCATCACATGTTTGTATGGAACAAAACCAGATCTCAAATCCCTATGAATCTTTGGTTGTGCATGTTGGTCGAACCTAAGACCATACAACACACGCAAACTTGCGTTTCGCTCATAAAGATGTGTGTTTTTGGGATATAGTCCTATGCATAAAGGCATCAAGTGTCTAGATGTTCCCACATATCGAGTTTATATATCTCGAGACGTTGTGTTTGATGAATCAGTTTTCCCTTTCGAATCCCCCCATCCTAATGCCGGCGCCCTTCTCCGTCAAGAAATTCTTCTTCTTCCATCCACACTTTGATCTTTTGATCACGGGAGAAACAATTGCACTAACCAACATGATAATAATATCCCTACTGGAACCAGTTCTTGTCTCCCGTGTGTGCAGGTACCTAGAGAAAACAGAGTTCAAAACAATCAGAATGATCAAAATCTCGTCCAAAATGGAGCTATATTTCATGTAGAAGAATAAGACGAAGCTGACGGGTGTTCGAGGAAGATTTGGCGGCGCCTGCCACCCCTGCGCGTCAATCCTCCTCGAATCTGGCGCGGGCATCCTCTCCGTATCACGAGCCGGTCGGCCTGGAGAGCCAAACGCGGGCGAGCCGCCCGACGACTGCCACATCATCACGCGGAGGATCTCCCTCGAGCGGCCCGTGCATGCAGCCAACCGCGGCGAGGCACGGCGTGCACATGCGGCCAACAGGCCCACCTGGCGCGGTCGGTGTGGGATAACCTGCGGCAACAAATGGTGTGGCTGCCGACGGATAGGCCACACCTGTGACCATCGGATCTGGTGCGGCAACACCTGTTTCTTCTTCAGGATCGTCTGCAACCAGTGATTCTGTGCGCCCGTGTGTACAGCAACAACCAGCCACACCCAGAGTCACAACTCGGCTACAAAAAGGTATTAAAAACCTGAAAGTAAGAACTGATGGCACTATACCGTATGGCATGTTGTGTATTTCAGGAGAGCGAATAAAACTAGATGATGCACTTGGATATCAAAAGTGGAAAAGGGCCATGGATGAGGAGTATACAACCCTGATGAGAAACAAGACATGACATTTGGTACCAAACCAAAAAAGGTAAAAACATCATTGATTTTTAGTGGGTGTATAGGATCAAGAAAAAGGCAGATGGCTCCATTGACAGGTATAAAGCACGTCTTGTTGCTAAAAGTTTTAAGCAGCGTTATGGTATTGATTATGAGGATACATTTAGTCATGTGGTAAAAGCAGCAACCATAAGACTTGTGCTAGCTATTGTTGTGTCTAGGGGATGGAGCTTAAGACATCTAGATGTACAGAACGCATTTTTGCATGGTGTTCTGGAAGAGGAGGTCTACATGAGGCAACCACCAGGTTATGAAAACAAGCAAAAACCACATTATGTATGCAAGCTTGACAGGGCTCTCTATGGTTTGAAACAAGAACCTAGAGCATGGTACTCCATGTTAAGTATGCAGTTGAAATATCTTGGCTTCACTGCATCAAAAGCTGACACATCTCTCTTCATATACAATAAGGCAAATATTGTTATCTTTGTGCTCATTTATGTTGATGATATTATAGTTGCAAGTTCTTCTCAGAATGCTACTGATGCTCTTTTACATGATCTAAGCTCAGAATTTGCCTTAAAGGATCTTGGTAATTTGAGTTTCTTCTTAGGCATTGAAGTTAAGAAGGTTCAGGATGGTATAGTGTTGAAACAGGAAAAATATGCTACTGAACTCTTGGCTCGAATGGGAATGAAGGATTGCAAGCCTTCACCCACACCATTATCCTCATTAGAACAGTTGTCAGCTTATGAAGGGGAACCACTTAATGAGAAGGAAAACACTAGACATAGAAGTGTTGTTGGAGCCTTGCAATACTTAACCTTGATACGACCAGATATCTCATTTTCTGTTAACAAAGTATGTCAATACCTGCATGCTCCTACTTCTTCCCATTGGACAGCTGTCAGAAGAATCATACGGTATATTAAGCATACTATAGACTTGGCACTATATTTCAAAGGTTCCAATTCTACACTTGTTACTGCTTTCTCTGATGCAGATTGGGCAGGTTGCAGTGGTGATAGAAAATCCACAGGAGGTTTTGTTGTTTTATTTGGTTCTAACCTTATTTCATGGAGTGCCAGGAAACAAGCAGCAGTGTCAAGGTCAAGTACTGAAGCTGAGTACAAATCATTGGCAAATGCTACTGCAGAAATCATTTGGCTTGAATCTTTGCTTGAGGAATTGGGTGCAAAGCAACATCGTACTTCATGTCTATGGTGTGATAATTTGGGTGCTACTTATTTAAGTGCCAATCATGTCTTTCATGACAGAACCAAGCACATTGAGATAGACTTTCACTTTGTATGAGAAAGAGTTGCAGAGAAGAAGTTGGAGATACGCTTTATTCCTTCCAAAGATCAAGTAGCTGATGGATTTACCAAAGCTCTACCATACAAGCCATTTGAAGCATTCAGGAACAATCTTAATCTAGGATAGGTAGTTCAGATTAAGGGAGGGTGTTAGACTTAGAGATATATCTCATTGTAATCTTAACTACTTATCTCTTCCTCTCCCTTGTAACCTCCTATCTCTTATCCTGCCATATCCTAGCGATCGGTAGAAGACTTGTTAACCACGGCAGGGGTTATTCCTGCCCTTGATCAATATATACTCGCGGCTCCTCTACGGAGGTGTAGGAACACTTCCACCAAACCAATCTTACACTGTGAATTTAGTCTGTTGAACTTCTACCCCTGAATTCCTGATCAACAAGAAGAAATGCCTGATATACGAGGGAAAAGCTTTGTCTATCCAGATAATTCATCCCAAAGGATGACAGGTGTGAGATGTCCGACACTAGAAAATTGATTCAGGCAGAGAAACACATATTTCCCTAATGCATGGTTCAAAAGAAGCCCCTGGCTGAGAAAACATAGTAGTCCCTATCTGTTCACTATTATAAGATGTTGTAACTTTTTTCTGATTCGGATGATTGTAGTGTGTTTGTTCACTCATTTCATTATGTATGTAGTCCATATTGAAATATCCAAAATGTCAAAATTTTGGAAACAAAGGGAGTACTATAGCAGGAGTAACAATTAAAAATGAATAGTACTCACAACCAAATAACAAGCAAAGATAATTGTAAATCCTTCCAGTGGAAATTAATTGATCCTAATCCTTATTATAAATACATATAAATTGAAGGTAACTATACGTCTTGTGCAATCCATCCATTTTCTTGCTCAAATAGATATCAACTAACATAATCCCGTAGGTGAGATAAACTACTCGACTAGTTGTTCTGAGGAAACTCTTCAATCCAACATGGGGTGTATGGAAAAGAAGTGAAGTACTCCATGTCATTTAATAGCTCTTTGAAAAATGAATACTCCTTTGGGTATATACTCCCTAAGACATCAATCTTCGAGCCGTTTAAGTGATATGATAGTCCTGTCTCCTGAGATTCACTCATGAAGACAATCTCTTTATGGGGGTGAAACCCAAGTATCTGAATATCATATTCCTTGTGACGACCGTCTTTATTCTGGTGGCAATTTTCAACATCGTCATCATCATTGTTAGAGTTCCATTCATATATCTGTTCGGTTGATGCTTCCTTGATCTCATTTGAAGAATGAGAAGAACGAAATAGGTTGTAGTTAATATCTTCTAAGATCCAGGGTCCATGTACTCGTTGGTCAAACCGGTGGCGTGCTAGCACAGGGTTAAGGTCTTTGTCATGCTTCAACATCCACTCCATTTGGCCACATGATTCATTAAGGATCCAAACTCGAAGCCAACACTTATCATCTTCAAATGCCACAAAGTACACCCCCTTTTCTGATACTATATCAGTGTGTAGACAACAGTCCTTTACTTTAATATCAAAAGGTGGTTTTATTACATGATATGCAGTATCTGACAGTGATATTCTGCAAAACCAAATCATGTCAAAAAATGTTTCAAAAAGGGAATCAACAAGATAGACATCGAATCAGATAGGAACACGGATAAATATGTACCTCATAAGAAACGCTGCTTCGCTGTATATATAAAGTGCTCTTCGAAAATATACAGCGGTCCTGAACTCCGGCCAGCCCACTTGCATCTCACTAACGATCCCCGCAGCATCGCCTTGTCGGATGAAATACTTCTCCTCCCAACAACCCGACCTTGATGAGAATACATACATCTTGCATGGAGACGGCGGCCATTCAGATTTCTCCATCAAGAGGTCAGGACGATTAGAAGGATCATCTTTATCACGCAAACGTGGGACCATGAACACCTCGTAATGTGGTGATACCATCGGATCATAGACCAAATGCCCACGGTACCACATGTACCATGTACCATCTTTGGCCGGGCACGGTGGCAAAGCATTCCACCTTCGGATGGCTGGGTTAACCACATGGTTGTCGCTAAGCAAGAGGAGCCCGTTGCAATGATTCTGAATCTTGTAGTCGTCCCAATCACTGGCGTCATCCCATATAGTACCAGCATGAGGGGCAGTGGAAGGCAGGAAGCTGAGGTTGCCGCTGACCGCATGGGCGGAGGGACGAGCGAAGAATTCGGTATACTTGTGCTTGTCGAAGTGGATGAGGAGGCCAGCGAACGAGAGCGGGAGCAGGTCGGCGCGCAGGAGGCCGTGTGCATCGATGGCGTCGCGCCAGGCCCTGCAGACGCAGCGGGAGGCAGCCACCCAACGCGGCGGGACGCGGCGGAGGACGTCGGCGAGCACGTCCTCCGGCAGGCGTGCCAGGTGATCCTCCCTGCCCTCGACACGAGCAGCCTTGAGCGGCTTGTCCTGGTCGGCGGCCATCGTCCTGCCTACGGTGATGATGTTCAATCTGGAAACCCTTGATTAATTAGGGGTTTATTTCGGCAAGGAGACCGTGCGGATGTTATAAGATGATGGGCTCGGGGTTGTAGCGGTTTGGAAAACCGTTGGAACCATGAGGAGAAATCCTGCCACATATATAGGGCTGCAAACGAGTAGAGCTCGAGCGAGTTGGAGTTGGCTCAGCTCAACTCATAAGAAAATTTAAGCGAGCTCAAATTGAGTGAATCTCATGGTCGAGCTGTAGAATATGACTCATACTCAGTTTGTGACGATCTCGAATCGATCTCCTAGTTTCGAGTTAATGAGATGGTAAAAATTATAAATGTATGGATGAAAAACAAGAAAATTAAGGCAAATATGCTGGGAACCTTTGCAAAAAATATAGGATATTTAACAGACAGTCGACCGTGTGTCATAATTAGGCCTAAATCTTCTCTGCACTTAATTAAGTTTTCATGTTCATTGGTAAATAAAATGAAGAAAAAGTATGGACATCATGTATGGTAATAAATTATCTTAATTCCATTTAACATATGGCATGATCATTTAACATAATGATATTATGTCGAGCTATTGAGCTAAAACTGAGCGAGCCAACATTGGCTCAAGATCGGCTCGTTTCTCGGTCAATCTACATAAAGTGTTCAAACTCAGCTCGTTTCTTTTCGAGTCGATCTCGAGTCGAGTCAAAAAACGAGTTGATCTCGAGCGGCTCACGAGCCTCGAGCTTTTCTTGCAGCCCTACACATATACAGTTCAATTTATTGGAACATGCAGCAGCGCAGCCACGCTATCTGACTGTTTTAGTTAGTTATGAAAATAAGTCACAGATGCTATTAATTCTTGCTCTCAAATTCAGCTATTGCTGCAGCAGCGCAATGTTTAGATAACTGAGGTCTCTCGTAATTTTTTTGCAGATAAACCGATGCAGATGTGAGTCCATAGTCGCTACACGTTCCATCTTTCACCCCGGATATTCTTATTCCTTTTTCATTTACATTATTCTCATTTTTTATGTGAAAACGATCTCTATTAGTCAAGGTCCAAGACGAGGAGTTACAATCAGTTTCAGTAACATGGGCGAATGATGCAACAGGTCCAATCCATGGCGGAAGTAAAACGACGGTGAAGGCCTGAACGAAACAAGGCGAATCACGGCGAGAGGAGATTTTCAACTGAAGAACGTTCCCAAGCCAAAAACATAGATGTCAGGTCACCAACAATGGCAGCCACTGCAGCTTATGACCATTCGAGGTTGGGCAACAATTTAGCGACATAAATTAAGCTCATGCTCTCAGTTGTCATTCATCGAGTATCTAGTTGTCTCCATGCATCCTACTACGCTTCAGATTAACTTGCATGTGTCAGCCCTCTAACGAGGACGGTAGAAACAATTGAACAGTACAAAAATACATGTGGGGAGAAAAATACAGACGTGTAAAGTACAACGCCTGAATTTATGATTGTAAATCTTCCCCAAGTGGAAATCAACGGATCGAACTGCATACATACATATAAAATAAAGATTGACTCGAATATCTTGTCCCAAGCCATCTTGTATATGTCTTTCAAGTAGATGCCAAATAACATAGACTCATATGCAAGATGAACCGACTAATTGTTTCCAGGAAACTCCTCAATCCAAGATGGGGTGTATGAAAAAGAATTGATCAGTACATCATAATTCAAGAAATGTAATTAATATTCCTTTAGTTATATACTATTTCCTAAGACTTCAATCTTGGAGCTATTTAAATGATAGGCTACTCCTGCCCGCACTGATTCACTCAAGAAGACAATTTCTTTGTGGGGGTGAAACCCGAGTATTCCAATATCATATATTCCGTATCGGAACTCTCTTTATTCCAGTAACAATCTTCAACCATATCTCCATCTTTAAGAGCCTTGCCACAGTTGGACCTCAATTCCAATTTCTTCTCAACGAGTGCATTCTTGTTGTCTTCTAAGTCACAATGTTCAACCATCACATCATTTCAACATCATCATCATTATTAGAATTACATATAAATATCTCTTCAGTTGATTCTTTCGTGTTGTCTTCTCGACAACATGATTCTAAGATCCAGGGTCCATGGACTTGTTGGCTGAACTGGTGACGTGGTAGAACAGGTTTAAGGTCTTCGTCGTACTTCAACATCCACTTCATTTGATCACACGGTTTATTAAGGATCCAAACTCGAAGCCAACACTTTTCAAGTGCCACAAAGTACACCCTTTTTTCAGATCTTACTACATCAAGGTTTTGACATTCGTCCACTTTAATATCCATTGACAGTCTAACTACATGGTAGGTATCCTTAGACAATGGTATTCTGCAAAATCAGATTATTGTCAAAAAAAATTGAGAAGCAATCATCAAGGTAAAATCAGATCAAATAATTAAGTTAGATAAGTATGCACCTCATAACAAATGGAGCTCCTAATGTATATAAAGTGCTCTTCAAAAATAGACGGCGTTCCTGAATTGTTGTGGATGCACTTGTATGTCACTCAAGATCCGCGTAACATCCCCTTCTCGGAAAAACTACTTCCCCTCCCAACAACTAGACCTTGATAAGAATAAATATGTCTCGCTTCAGTTCTGTTTCCTCTACACTGGTGCTGCTAGAACACAAGAGTTTTAGGAAAAGAAGAAGGCACTTGAAGAAGACAACCAAGAAGAACATTGTGAATGGTTTTTCCACGACGATTCGAACCATCTCCTGCCCCCACCCCCGCGCCGCCCCGCTCGGGCGACTCGGGGGCCGAACACAAGTCGCGCCGTCAGCCGCCCCTCCTTGTCCATCCTTCCTCGACGCCGCCTGAGGCAGTCGTCGGGCAAGCATGGGGCGCTACCAAGGATGGTGGCGGCGGTGTCTTCTGCTGCCCTGCATCCGCATGGGGGCCTCTTGATTTGGAGCAACAGCTCCTATGGCAAGGCACTGCCGGCTTTGCGGCGAGCGGTGCTGCGGACGGTGGATCCGGTGTCCTGGCCGTGTGGGCGGTGGGATCCAGGAGGTCGAGGGCGGCCGGTGGCGGCTCTTGTGGTGGACAGTGCACGAGATCTGGCGCTCCCCTCCTTCCCTGTTCAGCGTGCACGCCTTCCTTGGTCGGGTCATGCTTCTCTGGTCGCCGGCTCGCGGACAGGAGGTGCTGCTGATGGTGGGGACTAAGTCCGGGCAAAATCCCTAGTGGCCGTGGCTGCTCGCGTCGATGGCGACCCCTGAAGGCGCCGCTCCCCTCCTTGGAGGCGTCGATATGGACTGATCCCCTCACTCCCCCTTCCTTTAGGTATCCCGGGAGAAAGCCCTAACATTGTTGGGCGGCAGCGGCGCTCTCGGCGCCGTTCCCTTCTTTAAGGTGCCGCTTTTGAGAACCTTATGGTCGGGTGGCGCTTGTGGGTGGTGGGTGGCGGGGCGGTGTGGCCCTCTTGTCCCATCTTGAAACTTCCCCCCTCCGGTGTTAGATGTGTGCAGCGACGGTGTTTTGCTCAAGGACAGTCTCCGGCGTCTCATTGGGGATGGGCTGGCCCTCTCTACGTGGTCATCTTTTGGTGGCATCCATCCCATCTTGCGACAGTACGACGCCTTCGATCCAAGCGAGGAGGTAGTGGCCTCCTTCGAAGATGGTGTATTGGATGTGTAGTGCGAGGGCTCGTAGGTGCATGGCGACGGCATGCCCCGCTGGTGTCGGCCCTTCTCTCCTCCGAGCCAGTGTGATCCTGTGTCTGGTGCAGCATTCTCAGAGGTGGACCTCGGTGTCTTCGGCTTTGGTCCCATTTGTTCATCTTCAGTTTCACATGAGGCTTAATTTTGTGAGGGCGTGTGCTTGTAATCCTGGCCGGTTGATGGCTTTGTTAATTCAAAGTCGGGCTAGGCTCGAGCCCCATCTCGGACTCGGTAGATGCTTTTTTCCTAAAAAAATGATTTTTTTTCACAACGCCACTGTCTACTTATCAAAATATTTGTAACCTTAAACTGGCCCCATCGAAACAAGCATGTCGTTTTCCATTTACGAGCCGATTACATATATGTGGGAAGGGATATATGAGGGGGAATGCATGGAATACACAAACGAATTTTGGAATCTTGGCGCAGATTGGCGGTCGACAATCTACGTGCCCCCGCCCTTACATGTGATAAATCTCCTTCCCCTTAGGCCTTGTACAATGGAAGGTGCTTAGAGAAATAAAGCAGACTTTTCTTAAGCACCGGTGCTTATTTGTACTGGATAGATGCTTAACTAAGCGTCTTTTCTGTAGAAATAGTCACCGGTGCTTTAGAAAAACTCAATTTATTTTTCTAAGCATGTTTCATTGTACAAGTTCTCGTAGTAGAATTGTAGCAGCTCCTGTGCTACGATGATATGGGTATGATGAAGCGGTTGACCTCTATCTCCACCAAAAACAATGAGTCATCCGAAGCACCCGAAGCAAGATGACATAGAAGAAGTGCAAAATGGAATCGGGAATAGTGAAGTTCCGATTAGGATTTAGGAAC